TTACTCCGTATTATTGTTATTATTATTGTTATTATTACTATCTCCATGAATGCAAACATTTTGAGTCACGTGGTTGTGGGTCTAGAAAAAGTTTTAAATTCTAAAATATATTCAGATTTATTGTTCATTCTCTAAAACACCTCACATTCAACACAAAATAAGTTTTGCATTCAGTTCATTAGTGTGAACAATGTTAATTAACATAATATTTAGATGACATTTTGGATAATTCATCACATTTTAGTAACCAAATATAAAAATGATGATTAATTTTGGAAGCACACAAAATTAAATCACATGAAAGTGTTTTTATCAAACAAGACAGAAAATGCATTAAAAAAACATGACAGAAAATTATTAATTGTCAAATTAGTTCGTTGATGTGAATCAAATTTACAAGAGAGTCTATCCATATTTTACACTTTCACACAAATTGTATTTGTCGCATACAAAGAAATAAATATTATTTATACCACAAACAGATTTTATTTTGGAAATTTACCTAAACAATACTCCCTCCGTCCCATTTTAAATTGCATGTTTGCCTTTTTTCTCCGTCCCAAAATAAGTTGCCTGTTAGTTGTTTTCGTAAACTTTTAAAAATAAAATGCCTAAACTACCCCTAAAATAAGTCACACTTCTTCACCTTATCTTCTCATTCATCATCACCCTCTTAAAAAGTAATGTCAATTTCAGAAAATTAACTCTATTTTTTATTTTCCTTGAATATGCCCAAAAGTCAAAACAGGCGATTCAAATTGGGACGGAGGGAGTACTAAATATAGTGACTTTCCCAAAGTAGTACTATATGTTTTTATTGTCAATGTAATATCACTGGTTTGTCCACTAGTCACTGTTCAAGTAAATATCCAACGTCACCGGACATTGTTTGAATTAAATATCTACTATGACTAGACATTGTTCCCGACACTAGACATTGTTTAAATATTATTTAGAGAATAAAAAAGTTTAAGTACTATACGCAATATGTTTTAGTACGGAGTACTATTTAGAACAAATTTCACATTTTATTTGTGAAGTGAAAAATAAATGAGTGGTGTAAACTTAGTCTACTTTAGTTTCATGCTTATTGGTAATTTAGCACTTGAGTTTCCACTCGTGTTTTTCAATATTCCAAAAATAAAAATTACATCGATAATGAGGAATATTAATTACTCCGTAAGTTTTGGTGATGACAAAAATAGATTGTAATAGGTCATGGTAAATTTTATGGTGGATCTAAGATCTACCATAGACCTACATATGAGCAAAAAAAATATTTATTTATTACAGTATTTTAATGAGTTTTTAGTTTTTTAATAAAAAATTTAAAAAATTTATGTGAGAAGGTCTAAAAAATTGATATGCACCTAAGGTGCACCAATTAACAGCGTTTAATTGGATGATACTGGGTTTTGAACAAAGGTTTTGCTGACCAAACCCGGAGTTGACCGAACTCGAAATTACCCGTTAAAAATGGGTCGAACCCGACCGAACATATGCTTTAATATGTAATATAATGTTATAAAAATAAGATTTCAATTATATTTTTTTGCTTACGACTCATTTTTAGTGTACATTTTTATATTTTCATACAAAATTTTAATGACATCACATAATTATCTTACTTTTTTTTCAAAGTTTTCTGCATATTTAGTTTTTTTATTCGTAACATTGACAATCGGTCATAAAAATTACTTAAAATTTTAAAAAATAAATGAAAGTCATAACTCGTTGGGTCGACCCGAATCCGATGATATTGGGTCATGAACATGTAGCTCTCAACCCAAGTCCGAACATACCCAAATCCGAAGTAAGTTGAACCTAAGGTGATCGAACCCGAACTTGATCTGACCGACCGTTTTGCCAGCTCTAATGATAAATATTAGGAAGTGTAAATTCCATATATAACTAGTTTTTTAAAACAAGGGTTTTCCATATTCTCTTTTCGTCAAATATTATACATGTAGTTCTTCTTTTATAAGTATCTTTTCACATATTTTCATTTTTAATCTTTTGTCATGTTAGTGTTAATTTAATGACTAAAAGTATAATTTCACAATGATCATTTATCTTTTTTGTCATTTACAATTCCAAAAGTCGCTCCTGATGCACCGTTTGTGAATCACAGTCGATGTATACTACACCACTAGTTTATCGTCAGAATCCTGGTCCATAATCATAGTCATTATTGTTGTATTGTTCATTTAACCGACATCAGAGTACGTCACTGGTAATAGGTTTGAGGTCAAATTACATATTTACTCTTCAAATTAACACTAACATGATATAATGTTAAAAAAATGATTATTTGTGAAAAGGGTACTCATAAAAGAAGAATTATGAAGGTAATATTTGGTAATAGAAAATTAAATATGGAAAACTCTCTGTTATAAAGGACCAATTATAGAATTACTCTATTAGAAATAATATAATAGGAATAATAGAAAATAAAATACTCCCTCCGTCCCATAAAGATGGATACGTTTTGACTAAAGTAGAAATTAAGAGAGGGATAATTTTGTGTTGACTTTCCAAAAATGCCCTTGATGTGATGAGTAAAAGTATGATGTGATGTGTAGATTATTAGGAAAAAGGTATGATGTGATAGGTAGAATTTGAAAAAGTAAGGGGTAAAAGTGGTTTTTTAATAGAAATGAGTAAGGGATTGTGGGACGCAATTTTTTTGAAACGTGTAAATCTTTTTGGGACGGAGGGAGTATTATTTAATTCATCCCACAAAACGTTTCCTGTTTGAAAAAGGCAGGTTTTAAAAAAATATAACTTTGGTGTTAAATTTTATTTTCTAATTTTCTATCCTGAACATATCATATCTAACTCTATTACCATACTCCACCCGTCTGTTATAGATCTTTTCATTATTCTTTTTTTTAACATTTAGAATATCACAACTACACTACCCTTACATCATTTATTATACTCCACCCACCCCATTTAATATACTCCACCCACTTTCATTAACACTATTTTAAAAAGCTTTCACATTTTTTCAATTCCCATTAAAAATTCTAAAAAATTAACTTTAGAAAATCTATGATAGACGGAGGGATATAATTTAAGGCGAAATTAGAAAATAACATCAAAATTACACATTTTTAAGTTACCTTTTCCAAAAAAGAAATGTATCCTGAGATGGAAAAAGTATTACTCCCCCGTTTCTCAAAAGAGTTCCTCTTTTGACTTTGGGGGAAAATAAGGAAGTGTTAAATTGTAGTTGACTTTCCAATTTTGCCCTTGATGTGATGGGTAAAAGTAAGATGTGATAGTTTAGTTGTTAGTAAAAAAGTATGATGTGATAGGTAGGGTATGAAAAAGTAGGGGTAAAAGTGGTTTTTTAATAGAAAAGGAAAGTGTTTTAAGAAAAACAAAAAAAATGAAAGAGGAAGGGTTTTAAGAAACGGAGGGAGTATTATTTACTTGCCTTATTCTATTGTTAATATATTTCTTATTCTACTTTGATACATATTTTCCATATATTCTTTTTATATTGATGTAACTTTAATTTCATTTTTCAATAAGAATAATTATTGTCAAGTTGTATAAATAAGAAAAATAAAGGGGAGGAAAGAAAATTTAAAATCACCCTAAATATGACTAAAGATAGAGAAAAGTACCAAAATAAGATTTTCATGTTTTTTCTCAAAATAGGACTTCGCACTGTAATAATGTGACACTGTACATGTGCACATTATTATACTTTTTGGTAATGTACATGACCACGTTTGATAATGTAAATACATTTTAAGTCATATTTTGGGAATAAAAATATGAAAGTCTTATTTTGATATATTTTCAATGCTTTAGTTCGATTTTGGCCTTTCTTCCGAAGAAAATTGAAGGTGAGGAACCAAGCATTTTTAACATTTGGTTGGGATAGAAAATGAGGGGATCCCATCTAAAAAGTTTTCTCACGTATTTTGGTGATAAAAGCTCATTTTAACTTCAAATTTCTTTTTCTTTCACCTTTTTTTGTCAATAATTTCAATTTTTTATCAATTCAAATACAAAATTTTTCTATTCATTTTCTTTTTTTTTTATTATTTTCTCTTCCCATCCAGACAACCCATAAAGAAAAGATACTAGAAATTGGGTTAAGTTGATTGAAGTTGATGAAGCCCCACGGCTTCAAACCTTTATTTTTTTAATACACATCTTCTAAAGTTAAATTGAGTAAAATTCATTTTAATTAAATTTAAATGTTAATAACTTATTAAATTAAAAAAGTTACGTACACTCAATAAAAAAGGAGAGAGATACGTGAATAATTTTTAGAGGAATTTTCTTAAATAGCACTAAAACATAATGACTTTCCCTAAATAGCACCACATGTGTTTTTCTTTCCAATATAGCACTTTTAGTCATTATGCATTAGTCATTATTCAAGCAAATATTCGTCATCACTGGTCATTATGGACATTATTAAGTGCTATTTAAGGAATAAAACAATTTAAGTGCTATTTAGAGAAATGACTTTAGTTTTAGTACTATTTAGTGCAAATATTTCTAACTTTTATTCACAAAGATGATAGAGATATTTCTACTTGTGGTGTGTGTTGAATTCTAAAAAAATAGATTGAATTTATAGAGGGAGGAGAAGATTTTTTAAAAGCCCCAACGGCATTTAGCGGTTATGTGGTGGGGGGGGGGGAGGGGGTCCAACGGCCAAAATAGGCTTCCAAAACGCAGGAAAGATGACGGTGGGGGTGGGATAAAGGAGACGTTAAAATCGCAAAAAACACGCTAGAGGTTATGGATATTACCAATGCTCTTACATACGTAGGGCATGTTTGGAAATAACGTTAGAGATTAGCGTTAGCGTTTTAGATAAAATTTTGACGGTGCAGATTACTTTGAAAACGCTAACGCTAAACGCTGCCCGTAAATAGCCTTTTCAAAACGCTAACGCTAATCGCTAACGCTCTTTCCAAAAAGGCCTGTAGTAGATAGGAATTGTATAGGATGCAAAAATAAACATAGGAAATATAGAGACATATGGAGCTGGCTCTGTTAATAAATATGGATCTAAATTTTTACAACAACAATAATAATGACCACCGGTACCAATAATACATCATTTCATCTTGGATTAATAATTCAGTACCAGTTTAATTTCTTAATTAATCACTTTAATCAAGATACACAATATGTTTGGCTTGGCCTAAAGAATTGCTCAACTTTAATTAATTTGAAGTTTGAACACACAAAATATGATAATATGAGGGGTTGCATGGCCGCCGCCGGAGATTTGATGATCGATCAATGTCCGCCTCCCAATCCACCGCCTGCACCACCACCAAACCCACCTCCTCCCCCGAATCCTCCGCCTCCTCCGCCACCAAAACCTCCACCGCCTCCGAATCCACCGCCTGCCCCGGCTCCGCCACCCGCTCCTCCCCCTAATCCTCCACCGGCTCCCCCTCCGCCTCCTAGCCCTCCACCTCCACCTGCTCCGCCACCAAGACCGCCGCCAAGACCGCCTCCTTTTCCAAAGCCTCCACCCGCACCGGCACCGGCACCACCTCCTAGTCCACCTCCTCCACCTGCTCCACCAC